GCCTGCCTGCCTACCTGCCTACCTGCCTACCTGCCTACCTACCTACCTACCTACCTACCTACCTACCTACCTACCTACCTACCTACCTACCTACCTACCTACCTACCTATATACATACACACATACATACATACATGCGTACACACATACACACATGCACACATGCACATACATATGCACATGCATATACAGCACGCGTGAATGGAGGTGTTCTTGCACACGTGCGAACAAGTACGCATGCACATTCGTGGGTGAGAGAGGGAGATAGGCTGACAAAATACGTGCAGCGACAAGTCTAGGTGGGTATACATGTGTCGGTGCTGTGTCGGTGCATGTAGGTTCTATATACGGACATGCACGTGCTTCGATAGATGTCGCTTAATTTGTCAGTCTATATATGCAAACACACATGCAGACACACATGTGCAACTATATACATGCACCTCCTTTGCTGCTCGTGCCACTGTTGACAGGGACTGCGGAGAATCAGCACAGCTTCGACTGTGCCAGCGGAGGAGCTAGACGAACCGGAGATGCCAGAGCCGGCAAAAAGCGGCAAAGGCAAAGGTGTGGGGAAGCCGGACAAGGAATGTGGCATCGGTGTGCAGTCACCGCTGCCGACGAGTGGCGACAAGGGTGCAGAGAAGAACCCAGGTGAAGTCGGTCAGCAGTCCTCAGTGTCGACAAGAGCCGAGGAGGGTGCCGAGAAGAACCCAAGTGAAGTCGGGCAGCAGTCCCCAGTGTCGACAAGAGCCGAGGGTCCCGAGAAAAAACCAGGTGAAGTCGATCAGCAGTCGCCAGTGTCGACAAAAGCCGAGGGTGCCAAGAAGAACCCAGGTGAAGTCGATCAGCAGTCCTCACAGCCGCCGACAAGAGCCGAGGAGGGTGTCAAGAAGAACCCAGGTGAAGTCGGTCAGCAGTCCTCGCAGTCGACAAGAGCCGAGGGTGCCAACAAGAACCCAGGTGAAGTCCTTCAGCAGTCGCAAATGTCAGGTGTGCAGCAGGAGGCTTCCAAGGAAGTGGCAGCATCCTGTCAGACGCCGGTGACTTGATTTGAATTAGCTCTGGCTGGCATTACAAACTGATTAGTCCGGCTGCACGTGTACAGTGGTGCTGGGTGCTCGTCTAGCGCTGGATAACTGAAAGAGAGTCATTGTAAGGCCAACAAGGAAGCCACGAGTGACATGGTCACCAAGTGCGTTGAGTCTCTGGCGGATGGGGTTACTCTTGCATCCGTAAAGAAGCGCATGGCCCGCCTCTTTGCCCCTCGTGTGGATGGCACCTATGTGGTGCCAAAAGAGCTGGTGGACCAGTACAAGGACTTGAAGCAGCGACCTGCTTTGGAGCAAGAGTTCCTGGACGCCGGCCTCGACAAGGATTGGCTCTTAAGGAGCAGGGGCTGCAAGGCCCGCTGTTGTATTCTTCGTTGCTTTGCCAGGAGCTCTTCGTGAAGCGCTCCGTCAAGAAGGTGAAGCGTCGCGAATCGGAGTCTGAGGTATGGGTGTCCGGACAGTTCGTGTCGGATGCCGATATGGACGAGCTGGGCCTGACCGCGAAGAGGAAGAAGGCCGTTCATGACGAATGCGCCAAGATGCGTGGATGGATCAGGTGGGGAGCAAGAGAGGGAGGGAGAGAGCAAAACCATGTATTACGTGACTACTTTCGGAAATGAACTGTTCATATGCACACGTAAATTATATCTTTGTGTGCATGTGGGGCAAACGAGACGGTAAATCTGTTCCTCAATGTATGCGTGTCGAGCTGTGTCTTTGTTTGGTCGAAGAATAGAAATGATGCATGTGCAGGCATGGAGCAGATTTAAAATAGTGTGTTGTGTGCACACACGGGATGAGTCGGCATCTAAAACATATTCATGTCTCTCTCTCTCTCTCTCTACATGTTTATATACACATGTACATATATATATATGTACACTTGTGGACCTCAGTGAGTGTTCATACAATGACATGTGTGCATGCATGCATACACAGATGTAAATATACTCATGCAGCGATATTTATACATACATATATACACACACAGTGACACACAACAGACGATGCTACATATTATTTGTCTTGAACGTGCCAGATCAAACAAGGGACACAGACATATTGCAGAGGCCTCATGCACACAGACACGCACACACATATGTCTGTATGTATATATATGTTTTTGTCTGTCTGTACACGGTTTCTGCTCTGCGGTCTAGACAGGATTGTGTACGTGGATACTTGTCCATGAATTTCTGATTGATCTCCTCAGGCGCGATCGCTATGAGCCGGACGTGAAGCTCTACTGGCTGGAAAAATCCGTGGAGGGAAAGATGCTGAGCCTTGGCACGCATGCAAGTATGCACTCCTATAGAATAAACAAACACTATATCACTTTACTTACATACCTACATACATATATATACATATATATA